TGATAGATGTGTAAGGTTGTTGAAATCCATGTACATTAACTGTAAATTGGGGAAATATTTAATTTGTCGAGAAATGTGCATAATGTCGTTGTTAGTCACGTCTAATTTATGGAGTCTTGGCAATCCGAAAATATTGAGTCCGATTTCTGTGATGTCTTGTGTAACCGATATATCTGTGAATCTATTTTCTGATAAGTACAAGATTGATAACTTTGGAAGATTGTGAATTGCCAGAAAATGCAGTTTGTTTGATTGTAGATATAATTTAAGTAATTCAGTCAATGAGTGAAATATGTCATACGGCAAAGCTGTCAATTCATTACCATTAAGGTAGAGTCTGCGTAGATGTGTCAATGCGGTGAAATGAGTGGTAGATAAAGATGTTAGTTTATTGTAACCGATGTTTAGGTGTGTTAGTCTTGTCAATGAATGAAATAACGTTAATGGTATGGAGTTTATGTCATTGTAGTCAAAGTGTAACTCAAGTAGCTCATTTAATCTATTAAATAAGAATGAATTCAATGATTGAAGATTATTATGTGACAGATCCAGCAGTTTTAATTTAGGGAAATTGTGAAACATTTCACTTGGTAGGAATGTTATTTTATTGTTGCCAAGGTGCAATTCAAGTAGTTCATTTAATCTATTGAATAGTGATGAACTCAGTGATTGAAGTTTATTATGTGACAAATCCAACACTGTTAATTTAGGACAATCGTGAAATATTTCACTTGGTAAGAATGCTATGTCATTGTTGTCAAGATGCAACTCAAGTAGCTCATTTAATTCATTGAATAATGATGAACTCAGTGATTGAAGTTTATTATGTGACAAATCCAACACTGTTAATTTATGACAATTGTGAAATATTTCACTTGGTAAGAATGTTATGTCATTGTTGCCAATGTGCAACTCAAGTAGTTCATTTAATCCATTAAATAATGATGAATTGAGTGATTGAAGTTTATTATGTGTCAAATCCAACACTGTTAATTTATGACAATTGTGAAATATTTCACTTGGTAAGAATGTTATGTCATTCCTGTCAATGTGCAACTCAAGTAGCTTATTTAATCCATTGAATAATGATGAATTCAGTGATTGCAGATTGTTCCACGTTAGACTGAGTTTTGTTAATTCTGACAAATTGTGAAATATTTCACTTGGTAAGAATGTTATGTCATTGCTGTCAATGTGTAACTCAAGTAGCTTATTTAATCCATTGAATAATGATGAGTTCAGTGATTGAAGATTGTTTGTCGTCAGATCTAGTTTTGTTAATTCCGACAAATGGTGAAATATTTCAGATGATAAGAATGTCAATGAGTTGAAGGATATATCCAACTCTCTAAGATTTGGTAACCCATGAAAAACTGTTTCCGGTAACGATGTTAATGCATTTCGATACAAACTGAGTTGTATTAGGTTTGTTATGCCAGCAAATGCATTTGGAGAAATGTTAGTTATCACATTTCTTTCGATGTTCAAGTAATTCAGTTCAGTTAATCCAAAAAAGGCATTTCTAGGAATTGCTTTAATGCCGACAGATCTCATTTCGATGTGCGTGGTATAAGATGGAATATTCGCGGGTATTTCAGACAAAAGACTCCTGCAAAAGACACGATATCCATCACCACTATGTGAATAACACCTGCATGCAGATGGGCATCCGTTCAGAGTACCAGAGTTCATCAACAATATAGGTAATACATACATAAGGAGGATGATTTGCCAACTCATCTTTATATGATGACCTGCAACGTAAATTGATATAATTAATTTCATTTTAAGTAACAGCAATCAGTCTCAACTAGGCTGGTGTCCCCAACATGTTTCTGGTTATTATTCATTGATTTACAAGAAGTACAATTTGCACAATGAATAAATGAGTAGGTTCCTACCTACTATAAACGTTGTGCATCATAAGCAGAGGAATGATTGAAAAGCACCAGACTAGTTAAGAGCCCGTTTATGCGAGAGAGAACTACATCAATGATGATTGTTGTGTTCTTATATCTATCATTTGAAACAGTACAACTGCTCTGTTTGTCTTCAGTGGAGAGATCTTAATATGTGCACAATAATCGGAATAAGAAGCATTAGTCATTATATCTCAGCCAATATGTCTTCCTATTGTCAATGTGTCAATGCACAACTGAATGTAATCGAACATAACATATTACTAAATGTTTCTGACTATTCAAGAGTAAACAATGTATATTATATCTGATATATTTGATATATTTGTATTACAAACACTTTAATTTGACACATCTGACCTACAACAAAGTCAGCATGAAAACCCACTTATAGGAAAATAACGTTATATAGCCAACATGATTTATTATTTCAATCCCAATATATATCATCTTTGCCAGCCAAGGACCATTGATCCAGCCGAATCCTCAACGTTAACCACTCGCAGATTTCACCGCGATTTACTGTATATAGCAAGCCCTCAAACGATTATAAGATTCACTTCGGCTCATTTACATTACCCAATCAGAACTCATGATAGAAACAACACATTACTTGGAATATAGAAACCAACGGGTTGCTAGCTTTTTAATGCTGTATCTGAGAGAAATTAGGTAATTGTTGAACGAAATCCGATCGGGGAAGTCAATATGTTATCAATTTCGATAGTTTTGTCGGTTTAATTAAAACACGGTTTGCACAAATATTTAGACATTCCACAAAATACATGACCTTCAATCGGGGTCGTTTCCTCGGTATATACGAATCTGTATATACAAATTACGGTAAAGACACTTATAACTTTACACATGAGGTAAAACAAATCACGTGACAATATAATGATAATAATAGTAATAAATCCTAGCTTAACAGTTGAACAGAACGATCATATCGTCAGTCGGGTCACGCCAAGGGCCACGCACTTCGTTGCAAAATGGCGGTATGGTTGAAACTGGGTCATGGCGTGACGGGTGAGAAAGACATCATTAAACACTCACAGTCACAAAAACTCGGAAGTGGTTGATATTAAGGCGTAGCCAACATGGGAAATAACAAAACGCACATTACAAACGCCCTGGGTTCGAATCCCACTAGATACACACTCACCAGAATCAAAGCAGTCAGAAACCAGCAATCGTTTTGGCTTTCCCGTTAGTAGTTAGAAATATGAACATCACTCAACGTCGTGGCGTGGTACACAAGCGTGTCATCTAGACAACACAAAATTATATCAAATAAACTTTAATCCCTCAAACCATAACAAGTAAACAAAGAACAAGGCGTAATAAACCTCACGAAACTGCACCATGAAAAACTGAATGAATAAATAACTTACGTATTAAACTGGACGACATGCAATTTTTTCAACAGTTTTTAGATTGTGACAAGAGATTAACAAAACTTCCCTTGACCTGGGGTCTTCTGTTTAAGTGTCGATGGCGTTCCTTATATTACGAAAACAATTCAGGCAACAGAAGAATATCTTCTACG